AAGCATTCAGCTTCTGGTGTAACCACTACGGTCAAGCAACAGGCGGTCCTTGTTGACAGTGTACTCATACTTGCATAAGGCAGCATTCAGACTTCGCGACGGCTGCGCTTCGGTCGCGCATTCGGGTGATCGATCGCGCCAGCGTACGACTGCGTCGACCGCTCGAGCATAAGATCGCGTCGCTAGTGCTAGCGTACGATTGTGTACCGCGACTGATTATCGTTTTGATTTCGTGATTTACTTCTTTATACAGAGAGTTGGTTCGAAATAGTAGAAGTTGTCGCACTTTTTAGTCCGTTTTTGATAGTTTCGTCCATTCTTTTCTTCAGTAGAGATTTAAATAACCTCAATGTTTACACATTAGTGGTTCGAAACCCAGAACGTGATGTCAATGCTTTTTTGGGTGCCTCTAAAGACGTTTCGAGCCTTGCGCTAAGGTACCAGAAAAGACTTCATCCTTTTGCCACTTCATGCAATTTCTTTTGTACGTTGTACAGCAGTGAGTTTCTAATGGAAGGTCGTCAGGTCGAAGTGGCCATTTGTAATGAGATGTAGCTCGCTAGACGTCGTTTTGGACGCTGATCTCGAATCTACCTTCGAAATTTGCAGAGCGATTCTCTAAAAGGAACTGTGAAGGTTTGTCAGAATCAAAATGAAGGAAAACGGACTCGAGCGCGGTTGCCATCCAATTTGCATGAATAGCCGTGAAGCACCCTTACGTTCAACGGCGGCGTGGTGTAGTGGTAACGGTCTTGCTTCGCGGTCATGCCATGAAGGCCTCGAATTTCTGAAAGCAAATTTCTTTTGCATTTCGTGGGGAATGTCTCTTTTGAGTCCAGAAAACACTCAAGCGCCAAATGGTGCCATATTCGTGTTCAGGGACAAAACTACCCTCGCGGTACAGGTTTCTAGCCAGATCTGAGGTTTTGACCTAACGCTGAAAAGTGCGGTAGCAGTTGATCGAATGATGACCACCAATAGTTCCAAGGCCTAGTCTCTTGTCGGCTTGTCTTGGACGGAATTTACTTGAATACCAGGAAAACTGGAGCAGTAACAACATGAATGCGTAAGAAGTGGCAAGAAGAGACCTTGTGCGGGAGAATGTAACTGCACTGAATAGGTGTTAACATCAACTGAACTAACCCATGGATGCTTCAGTTGTCGAAGTCAGGTCAAAATGCCAGATTTGGCTAGAAACCTCTACCTAAGCGTAGTGCGCCCTCATAAGTACGAATATGGCACTCGCTCAGCGCGAAAACGCCTGCACTGCGCGCCTGTACATCCAAAAATTCTCCTAACTCATAAGGCACTAAGCGCGCCAGTAAGCGAACACAAACTGTTTTTCAGGCAAGTCAAGGAGAGCGCTAATGTAGTAGTGACGCCACAACCACTTTTTGCCACGTTTGCGCAAGAAGCAAAAAAGTTAAGCTCAGCAGGGATCCGATCCCACGACCTGTTGCGTGGTAAACGCGGTGGAAAAAGCTCCATAACTCCGTTCATCGCTTCTGCAAATTTCGAAGGCAGATTCGAGATCAGCGTCCAAAACCACGTCTAGTGAGCTACATCTCATTACAAATGGCCACTTCGACCTGATGACCTTCACTAGTAAGATCTAAGTTGAGGAATTTGCAAATACGTACATACTTGTCTATAACTTTGATTGGAAAGTTTCTCAACAAACATGTCGTTCTTAGTACCTTTCCGGGGAGTGGTAGTGACTCGCTTAAAGAGTAGGGAGTCGACCAGTCAAAAATCCTCAACGCATTAATGGGCCCTGATATGTTTTGTTGGGAAAACTAATCGTATTGTTAAACGCCCGTTGCATGGAAGAGAGTGTAGGTAGTATGCTTGCCAATGGGCTTGTTTTCTCGAGCCCAGACACTTGTACGAGTATATGGCTGAATGACCGCCTGTTAGGGCTACTCCAGACAGCTGGTTCCTCATAGCAACGATGAATCTTCCCTTTACTGCTGCTGGTCCCGTAGCATCGTTTTTCGTTGAAGGGCGGAGTTCCCAGTACCGGGTCTGGAGGCGAAGTCAGTGGTAAGAATAGGGCGCCACCGGAGTAACTTTGCGCCCTCGCCTCAAAACTACGAAACTGACGCCAGGTTGTGAATTGCGTGTCTTTCTACCTCTCTCACAGTCTTTTGCTCCATAAGTCATCACAGACCATTCCTCCAAGGCAGTCGGCTATAATAATCGCAGTCCATTTGTTTGCGCACTGCTTATTGAAATGTATGGCAACCCACGCTTTCTGCAGAAGTAGCATTCTTCAATGTAGCATCAAATATGTAGGAGTTATATAGGCATCCAGGAGCCCAACCCCATGGGCAGCTTGCTTCAATTGCGTGAGCCTCGAAGGTAACTTGCTCCCCGCCGACGGTTCCATGCTGCTTCCATTCCGGACCAACGCATCGGTTTATTGACAGCACTCGAATCAAACTGCTGCAAACATTTAATAGTATGGCGATCCTTTTCAGATGACAGTCAAAACGTAGCACCTGTCTATCAAGTATGCTCTGTATAAAAATAAGGTCTCAGCAGACAAATCCACGCCATGCTTGCCGTTAAGGTACTCAACTCTAAATTATTGTGAATGAGCCTAGCAATGAGTGTAAATGGTGAGCGGTAAATGGTATGGCAAACAACTCACAGTGGGTTTTTAGTATTCATAAATTTACCAATAATTAAGTTCAAATAGGTCGTGTAGTAAATTAGCGTGAGAACAAGGAATAACAGAGCGCCACCAAAAAGCAAGTGAGCCTTGGTCATCTGAAAAACTCAATGTGATATGTTCACATCCGTCTAGATTTACACCAAAACGGACAAAGATATTCTCCGTGAAGAAATGAAAGAGATTAAGAACGACAACGACTGTTCACATACATACAAGTTAACCTCTTCTGTTTTGATAGCACCATATTTTCAAACATTTCGTGTTTGACGGAGGAAGGGCAGGGCACGCCATCGTTGTGATCATCACAACAGGGGGTCGTATTTGACCTCGAGGGAGGGGGGTCGTAAGCGCGGGGACCTTTCTGAAGTGAGGGTGCAGCGATACCCAGCTGTCGTTCAGCTTCAATGATGAAAGACTTATCCATGTGAAGGACCTCTGAAGAGACCCACACAATACAGAAGCAACCTGCCAGCGCAGAAATGGGGAACGGGCGATGACAGGGAATATGATGGCCTCCCACAACGACGTCATGAATTAATATAAAAGATAAAGGATAAAGTCTCCGCCGTTGATCAACCCCTTTGTGGGATGCGCACGCATTCTACTTCCATTCAGAATCGCAGTGGCTTATTGAATGCGATGTGGCCTATACAATGACTTGCGGTTCGCGCTGAGCGAGTGCCGTATTCGTACTTATGAGGGCGCACTACGCTTAGGTAGAGGTTTCTAGCCAAATCTGGCATTTTGACCTGACTTCGACAACTGAAGCATCCATGGGTTAGTTCAGTTGATGTTAACACCTATTCAGTGCAGTTACATTCTCCCCGCACAAGGTCTCTTCTTGCCACTTCTTACGCATTCATGTTGTTACTGCTCCAGTTTTCCTGGTATTCAAGTAAATTCCGTCCAAGACAAGCCGACAAGAGACTAGCCTTGGAACTATTGGTGGTCATCATTCGATCAACTGCTACCGCACTTTTCAGCGTTAGGTCAAAACCTCAGATCTGGCTAGAAACCTGTATACCGCGAGGGTAGTTTTGTCCCTGAACACGAATATGGCACCATTTGGCGCTTGAGTGTTTTCTGGACTCAAAAGAGACATTCCCCACGAAATGCAAAAGAAATTTGCTTTCAGAAATTCGAGGCCTTCATGGCATGACCGCGAAGCAAGACCGTTACCACTACACCACGCCGCCGTTGAACGTAAGGGTGCTTCACGGCTATTCATGCAAATTGGATGGCAACCGCGCTCGAGTCCGTTTTCCTTCATTTTGATTCTGACAAACCTTCACAGTTCCTTTTAGAGAATCGCTCTGCAAATTTCGAAGGTAGATTCGAGATCAGCGTCCAAAACGACGTCTAGCGAGCTACATCTCATTACAAATGGCCACTTCGACCTGACGACCTTCCATTAGAAACTCACTGCTGTACAACGTACAAAAGAAATTGCATGAAGTGGCAAAAGGATGAAGTCTTTTCTGGTACCTTAGCGCAAGGCTCGAAACGTCTTTAGAGGCACCCAAAAAAGCATTGACATCACGTTCTGGGTTTCGAACCACTAATGTGTAAACATTGAGGTTATTTAAATCTCTACTGAAGAAAAGAATGGACGAAACTATCAAAAACGGACTAAAAAGTGCGACAACTTCTACTATTTCGAACCAACTCTCTGTATAAAGAAGTAAATCACGAAATCAAAACGATAATCAGTCGCGGTACACAATCGTACGCTAGCACTAGCGACGCGATCTTATGCTCGAGCGGTCGACGCAGTCGTACGCTGGCGCGATCGATCACCCGAATGCGCGACCGAAGCGCAGCCGTCGCGAAGTCTGAATGCTGCCTTATGCAAGTATGAGTACACTGTCAACAAGGACCGCCTGTTGCTTGACCGTAGTGGTTACACCAGAAGCTGAATGCTTTTCGGGGATTTGTAGCTAAATTTTATCCATCCACACAAAAATGCGCGCATAGCAACACAGATGGCCTTGCCTTGATATGCTAGTTTTTCGCAGTCGAGTGCGGCTCGTTCGTGAACATAAGGAAAGATGAAGTACAAAAGACAGACATACATATTGAAGTTGTAAAAAAAAGTCCAATACCTTAATTATCATATATCAACTGTTACTGTCGTCAATTACCTTCAATCTCCCATTTAGGTCACTCTTTCAAGAAATGGCAGTGATGTAGAGCTGGAATTGCATCGACGGCCGCTAAGGACGAAGGGAACCTTGAGCGTCTGTGTGCCTCCCATATACTGGAGAGTTTCCTGCTCCTTAACCTCTATCTCATAGTAACAATTGCATGTGGATTGCTTCGCGAAATGTGCAGAGTAATTTCACGACAAGCATAACTGTCAGAACAATTAAAAGGATATCATCCATCAGGCGAAGGAGTTTAATCGGATGTTCCTCATAGAACTTCTCACCAAGTATTGCTATTCCTCTACTATGCGGTCATTATATCTCATACAGGTTCACCGACTGGACAAAGATAATTCTCTTTCTTGAAACATGGCGGTCACATGGAGCCAGCCATGTTTTCATGTATTATCATTCGTCTACTGAAGAAGTTCGGCATTTGTTGCGAAATTACGAGAAAGAGGTGAACAATTAGAAAGAACGAGCAGATAGTTTTGCTGGACCAGGTGAATGCCAGCAGCACTCGTTGAATTTAGGGTTTTGTGACGGTGATCAAATGGCCGTTGCTTCCACAGTCTTCCACCGTTGATCCAAATCGGTCGCTGTATCGCTTGGCGCATTCTCTCGCTCATAATGATTGTGTGCTAAGAATAGACAGCGAATTCGGAGCGTTGGTCGACATCGATGAGCTCATTGTGCCAAGGTGGGTCATATTCCTAGAAAAGGAATAGACTATTGTGGCCCAAATGGTTCTTATTCATGGCGAAGAAATAGAATGTTGTGGACCTAAACCTGCTAGAATGGAAGCGGACGATAGGAGAAGTGAAATAATTTGTCATCTCTCGTGTAACCTTTGCTTTCTCTTGTTTAATTGCTCTTCCAATTAATAAAATACCAGCCGGCACGCATTTTTCTGAGACACAGCACGGCTTCGCCGGGCGGGCGCAGCTCCCGCGCTTTATTTTTTTTCACAGCGTTTTCAATAATCGCCTGGTATTCGGCTTTTCTTTCATCTGAACAGATGATCAACATTATCTCACTAATAGCACTATACCTGCTATTTTCAACACTATGTTACGGTGCTGAAAGGAGCGTTGATCAAGTGGACAGATGAGAGGAAAGCCGGGTATTTGTCCAGCATTTGACCTACGAATGCAGTAGGCGCGACGCCACGCCCGCAAGAGCCTGTATCAGCAAAGGAGGTCTGGAGTGCCTGAAGTGCTCTGGAACCGCTTTGAGGAATTATTCTCACACACAGGCTCCGCTCTGGCTCAAACAGCACGCGTCCGTCCACAATGTATGCCTCGCGCTTTTCACCTAATAACGCCCTCGGTGATTCGACTACTTTGTCCCGGTGTTTCGGAGTCTGCGAAGCGTTTTTGGCAAAATTATTTTTCTCACATTTGGCATCCCACCCACCTCTGGACACCCCCGCACACGCCCGGGAAGTGCCTCGCCATTCTTTACATTTGATCACTTGGGCCATAATTGCACTTTTTTGGCACCGGTCTCTATGATTTAGGATAAAACTATAACGACTTTTTAATGTTCTCCCCGTGCTCAGATGCCGCGACAGCCCACTGGGCCTCAGCACGCGGGTCGCCGCCAAGACATGGTGCGGCTCTTGCACGATAATTTCTTCGTTCATGACTTTTCTGCGCTCCTAACATTTTTCGGGACCGAGTTGCCGCGCTTTGGTAGGGAAGCGGCGACCATCTCAAGTACCGCCAGCCCTCATTTTGTTGTCTTCCTCCCATTGGTGTGCCAACCTAGTGCTAATCTAATTCCACTTTTCCCAGTCTGCGAGCTGTAGCCAAGTTATGGGGATTTTTCAGTGACACGGGAAGCGCCCGCCCATCTCTCAAGCACGCACGCCATCTTCGAGGGTGTCTCTCTTCCATTTGGTCAGCCATGCCTTTGTTAACCGTACTGCACTGTTCCTCATCTCGGGTCTGTTCTGGAACCGAGTTATGACTTTTTCCAGTGATCGTTAACTTTTGAAGCACGCCCGCCCACTGTAGGCTGGGCTTACCATGGGTCATGGGTGCTATTTAGGTTTTGTCCCATCCCCACCATGACCCGACCTCTCCAAGTTCTTCTTCAGGTGCTATGAATTTCGTGACAGACAAGACAGACACACACGACACACACACACGGACATAGCCCGATTATATTATTAGGTTGTCCGGAAAGTTTTCAGCGTTTTGTGTTACTATTTCTTGTACATTCACTGCTGGTAAAAAACCATTCTCCCTTGCGTCTAGTAGTACGTAAAGAGATTTTGCGCTATCTGACGGTATCATTGCCGTTTCACCATTGCTTTGTAATCCCCTTTTCCTACGGACTTTTTAAGTATGTTAAAAGAGCAACTTTGGACGATATTTTCTTCACCCTACAAATTCTGGGTCAGTCCGCAGGAGCAAGTCGAACAGTTACTCAGCGTGTGGGGCCCAATAGTATTGGAGAAACACCGTGCGACAATGGTTCAGCAAATTTCGTTCTGGAAATTTCAGCCTTGAAGATAAACCTCGTAGCGGTCGACCTCAAGCAACACCTGACGAGGACTTGAAGGGGTTTGTGGAGGCTGACCCATCCTAAACAGTTGCAACGCGATTGGCAGAAACAGCTTAGGCGTTGGCCAAATCGCACTGTTGGTCGAAATGCCATGCCATCGGTCGAACGCATTGGGAAGGTATAAAACTCTGGCAGTGGGTGCCCCACAATTTGAGTGACCGGCAGAAATTGGCATGTCTCGAGGTTTCTTCTTCACTGCTTTTGCGCAACAGAAACGACCCGGTTTTGGGGACCGAATTGTCACCTGTGATGAAAAGTGGATCATGTATAGTAAGAGGAGATGTTCCGGACAGTGGTTCAATGCCGACGAACCACCGAGAATTTCAAAAGCCGAACTAAGAAAAAAAAGATATGGTCACACTTTGGGTCATCGGCTGGTGTGATCCACTATAACATTTTGTAAGCCAGGCCAAACCAGAGTCCTACTATGAAGAAATCGACGAAATATACCGAAAATTGCGCTTCCAAAAGGTTTTACAGCGCAGCTAGCATTTGGTCATACAGAAAGGTTACGCGATTCTCTTGCGCGTGCCAGACGTCGCGCCACGACGTTTCCCAAATCCAATATCGTAAATTGAAGCGAATTGGGGTTGAAGTTCTACGCTCACCGCGGATAATTTCCACACCTTTCACCAACCCACTATCACCTTTTCAAACATTTTCAGAACATCCTGAAAACAACTGCTGGAACATGCTCCATCAATCAGAACCAGGCGAAAAGCCTTCTGAATTCTAGACCATCCAGTTTTTTCTTTGATGGGATTCGTCGACTGGTCCACACTGGCAAAAGTGTGCTGATTCAAACGGTGCTCATTTCGACTAAATCTGATGAATATTAAGAAAGTTATGATCGTTTGAAGTGAAACACTCAAAACGGTGAGAGCTTTCCGGACAACCTAATATTTTGAAATATATAAGGTTGCTGCAGCTCTTGTATAGACACATATGATCTGAAATCTTGCGCTCACCATTCTGAGAGCACTGCTTTCAAAAAGAATTGAGGGCGGCGAATGCTACAACCATTTCTTACTCATCATATCTTCATTTCATATATTCATCTCTTAAAAACAAAGGAATCAAATATTATTCAACGTCCCCATTGGTCTGGCAATACACAGCATGAAGAGAACTGGACACATTGTTTTTTTGATGCTTTGCCAAAGGGAATTATCGCATATCGTGTTTGTGAATAGCCTGCAGCGCACTTTAGGAGTTTCTGTTAACGTACCGACCGCCACGCTGTGTGTTTTGCTGCGAACTGGCGCTACCTGTCAGGGCGCGAGCATCGCCAATGCATGAACACGCAAACTGGGAGATGTATTACTGCCGCAGGATATCGAGTATTTTCTTGGTGAAACTTTACTCATGATAGGATTATTCATGTTGTTGATTAGATGTTTATTCAGGGTTCTGACTACGACTATGACACCCACCTTCGACGTCAGCGCCAAATTGGCGCCACTCTGTTGCAACGACCTTTGCTCCAAAATAGATGCAATCTTACACTTAAGGGGTACTTAGGGTCTTTACTACGGAAGTGAGATTCACTTTCCGCCGAAGCGTTAATTGGTGCCAGATTCCGTTGGCTGCGTTTTCGTCTCGCAACTTTTCCCACGGAATGTTTTGGTAGTTTTCATTTGAAGGAGACCCAGAATCGATAGACTCAATTTGGGCATACAATTGTGCAGAAACATTATTGTAATCTTTGCCAAATTAGGCTCAATTGATAGCCCTAAATTAGAGCTGAAAGCGCACCAAAGAGTCACTATCATAAGTCATTGTCAGAACACAGCTAGCGCTGAAAATTAATAGAATGCTTGAATTAGGTTACGCAGTAACCCATAATGATGGAGCTGAGGCGAACGGTGCATGGAACTTCCTTGAAAATACCATCAAAATGGTATTAATCATTGTGTAGACAGCTTCATTTGGAGGGAGCAAGCTAAACGGAACCAATACCTTATTCTATGCTGAAAATATGACCTCAGTTAACCGCGAGCAGCTCATTTGCCAAAGAAGCGAACACATTAAAACCAGTAAGATTACCTGCTATTATGCATGCAAAAAACAACCTAGAAAATTTGTATTACAGGTAGTGCACACGAAATGGTAAAAAGGGCGTGTATAGCCAGTAGCGTCCGCGGGGCTCCGAGTCAAATGTCCTCGCAACACCCAATTTTGGGATGACGTCACCAGTAGACGTTGGCTGAGATTAGCACATGGAGCACTGACACCTGCCATTTTGGTGATCGTAGAGCCCAAATCATATCTTTAATGGGCTACCATGGGCTTAGCCCATTCCAACATTCGCTCAAGCAAAGTTAGGCGTGATGAATGAAGAGGGAATGGGCCACTGGTTTTCTGTACGTAATCTTCGATTTTGAATTTTCCTGTGAATATCACCATTGCTATCTACTATATTCACTTTCTCAGAAAAATGCCTGAGGAATTGAGTATCTTATAAAGAAAGGAATCAATTCAGGAACATTTCTCTATTGTCTCTGGTGAGCCGGCGGTTCTCCGTACCTTCCGTTGGCGCTCTTTCATTTTCTCATCGAAGCTCTCTAACTCCATCCACACTAAGCTTTGGAAAAGCCTTTTGGCATTTTGAGCTCTCGTTCTCCGGTATTTCCAACGCTACTGAAACTATTATCTTCAATGGTCCACCAAAAGTGAGTGGTACCGGATCATTGTTATTGGGAATTGTCTTCAAGGCGCTTTGCAAAAGGTAATTTTCCGGTAGTTTTCCGAACCGAAGCAGTTAACATGCTGTCAACACACGAAGTACGAGTTTTCAACACTGGGTTCGTCGTAGAAAATGTGAGTCCTTTCGAGTTGTGATTTCCTCCCTTGTTTTTTGTCCCTATGCGAATCGCCGAATTGTTTGTCGCCATTATCTTGCCAGCATGTTATCCTCTTGGTGTCACGCGAAAACACATCCCTACTGACCTGCTTATATAACTCGGATCGCAACTGCATCAAATCCGGTCTTCGTTGAGGTTCCGCCGAGCGAGGCTGTTCTTCTTCACAACCGCTACACCAATCAAATAGGAAAGAACACCTCAGCAGTCAATCTTTTCCCGTTTGGCACTGCCAAAAGTGAAAACATACAGAAGGCGATGTTGAATCGAACAAGGGCAATCTTTCCGAACGGCGCCAGCTTTCATTATGAAACTCAACAGCGGCTCGGCATTTGTCTTCAACGGTATGCTTTATTATTAACAATATATGAAAAAGAGCAAAACTAGCAGTCAAGATGTGTATGTTGTTCAGATGGCGCGAAACTCAAAATTCGTGTAAAATACCGATTTCTGGCTGCAAGGACATGCTCATGCCTCTTGAAGACTGGTACTTCTCCGAAGCAGTCGATGAATTTCACCCCTTATAAAGTGCGTTTTTTTTCTTTATATCGAGGCCGCAAAATGGACACGTTTCCACAGCAATCTCCGTCATGTGTACAACATGAGGGAGATTGCTGTGGAAGCAGTCTAAAGCATCTATCAAAAATAAAATCGTTCCATAAGGTGCGTTTCTTTGCAGAGACGTATACGCCCGGACAAGCGATTGCAAATCCTGTTGCTGCAAATTGCTTTTCAACCCTCAACGTGTACAGTTCACAGTAGACTATCCAGACAAGACAAACAAAAAATCCACGTTAAGAGCCAGAAAACATGAAAGCCAAGTTTGGCAACGTCCGAGGCAGAGCTGCTACACCGAGTGCGCCTCATACTCCAGAACATAGGACTTACCACGACATGCATCCGCATTGTAGATAAATTCTGCTAAATATGTCTCCCCTCCCTGTCGCTGCAAATCTCGGTAGCAAGCGGACCGAATTACAGCGACAACAAACACCGAAAATGAAGATCTACGAAAATAAGGACAGAAAAAGACTCGTAAGGTAGTTAATAAGGATAAATGTGAGGCAGCTTCGAAAACATATAATAAGCCACAAATAAATGAACAAAAAGAATAAATTATGAAGTGAACAATGAAGCATAATACAGAAATAAACAGAAATAAAGAAAATACAGGAAAATGCATTTGCCGGCACTCGAATATTAATTGTTCACGGCCAGTCATCCGAACTGTAGTTAGAGCTGGTTTTGTGACGTGACATTATAGCGAGCTATTTTCACGGTCCGAATTCAGTTCCAAGCAAACACTCCGAAGGTACCCTTCGCTCGAACACCGTAACTCCTTTGAGAGTGGAGTTTTTGAAGAGGAAAGCAGGGCTGTGGAGCACCAGGTTGGCACTTGTTAATCGTGTTTAGGCCAATCTGATAAATTTCTCCTCTAAGGGACTTGCTCCGTTATGATATCGCCATCAAATGTGAGGGTCATATACGAGCTCTTACGTTAGGTTTTGAACAGCTACAGCAACTTTCATACGAGGCCATTCGTAAAAAGAAAATGATGCCGGAATTTCGTAGATTTCCACTTTCTAACAAGACTCTCATCTTGTTCCTAGGCTTGCTATTCGGAAAAATTTTCCTTTGTGACGTGGTCGCGACCCGTTTCGGACGACACGAATAACCCACCTCGCCAAAGCAATTTCAGCATTTCTTCTAGTTGGTTCAAAGACTTTGGCATGTTTCTAGAGGACATGTCTTCGATGTAGATAATCAGAAATTAGTTCACTCAGAGCCGATTGCATCACCTAAGTAATGCACCATGCATAGGGCCCCCACACAGAGGTGTTGGGAAGGTGCAACTTCTGAACAGGGCTTCCTGCGTGCAAGCAGATGTGCTCCTGCGATTGGGAAGGTCTGGAAGTGTACTTTCATCTGTTTATTGATTCATCGTCGTTGTGAGCGGACATCGTATTTCCTGTCATCGCCTGTTCCCCCTTCTGCGCTGGCAGGTTGCTTCTGTCTTCCGGTGTCTCTTCAGGTGTTCTTCACATGGATAAGTCTTTCATCATTGATGCTGTACGACATTTGAATATCGCTGCATCCCCCCGGAGAAGGTCTTGCGCTCCCCTCCCCCTCCCTTGCCGTCAAATACGAGCCCCTGTTGTGATTACCACAACGATGGCGTGCCCTGCATACGACATCCGCTTTGGAAAAAGCGAGTTACGTCACGGTTCTCACCTCCCCGATATCTCCAAAAAAAAAGAAAGAAGGACAAGGAGACAAAAAGAAAAATGTTTCGAACCGGATAAACCCGCGCATTGCTGATTTAGTGCCCGCAAAGGGAGAGCCGCGTTTAAAATGATGAGATATGCGGCTCAGGTGGTAATAACAACAAGTGCTTCAGTAGTGAAGACAAACATTAAAAAACCTTGGAAGTGCCATGCTTAGAACCCCATGCCGAACTGACCATGAGGTTGTAGCATAAAGCGGAGTGCTCTCGACTCCCATTTGTTGGCGGAGCTCTTTTTGAATATCACCTCAGTCTCATTACTCGGAGTGGAGAGAATTAGTAGCGGAACAACCGCACCGTCACGTATTCGGCGTCAATCCGGGCGGCAGTTTCTTCATGAGCGGGCGGCGCTTACCTCTCATAACAGTTGCGAAATTAAAACGAGCTCATCCTTGTCGGGAGGGCTACCATTTCCAATGGAAGCGTGGTGACATCAAGTCAACGCGGGCTTTGCCTCTAAGCCTTCAGTATCATTGAAATTCTGTGAAATACAAGATGGTGTGGGAAGGAGCTCGTGGCTTTCCACAGGATTTCACAAACCATTGAAAAATGTCCCTGTCCCTTGGCAGGGATTAACAGAAGGGCGCCATCTAGAGGCCAGATTCGTGCTGGTTGCAGATAAGCAAGGACATATAAGCAAGACTCTTGGGTCTGAACAAATATTTTCAAGGTTTCTTGAGCAACAACAGCGAAGCGGGAATACAGAACATTTGTGAACGATACAGCGTTAGTTCTTCAGTTTACTAACCGCCGGAACTTACAGAATTTCTCTTCAGACTTTGCTGTTATGACGTTTACGTTTCAGAGCGGGCGCGTTCACTCACCTGGTCAGATGGAGCCGAAGTCATTCGAATATGTTCTCGACTGATCACCGGTCCTGGTTTCACTAACGCTACGACAGTGACCTTGAATGTGCTCATCAGCGGTGCTACTGCGGTACAAATATGCTTTGTTGTAATATGACCACGCGATTTTCCTCTGCATGATTCTTGAGATCTCATTATTGTGGGAACATATCGTTAACGAATAAATCTGGTCTTGCTGCGATTTAATTGGCACTGAAAGGAACTAGCTGCTTTTCCATGTATAATTGAAGCACAGATGACTAAAATTTAGAGGTGCGCGTCTCTCAAGAAAGGGTGCGCCGCACAGCGAAACCGGCCCCTGCAAGACGCAGAGCACATTTTTTTGGAAGCAAAACAAATCAGATACGGAAGAGCAGGAATCTCTGTTCTCTTACCGAAGTATTGGCAATTGTAGATTAATAGGTCATAGCTCTCGCTCGATTTCATTGTGTTGTTTCTAGGCAGTCAGAGCTTTTCAATGTGATGAGGATCTTCACTACTATGTGGCAAACCAAACACCAACGGAGTGGATGTAATAGCCCCTCAACGTTTCCGGGACTCGACAGCAAGAGTAGAACGCTTCGATGACCGCCTGCTGAGGATCGTTATTACTAATAAACAGCGGCTGTACCACTTCTTTTGTCCCTATGCTCCATAAACGGGATGCCCCGAGCGACCCAAGGAACGAGCTCTGGTCTTGTGGCTTGAGAGAAGAGCAGTGAGATACGTAGAAGACGTAATTGTTGCTGGTGACATAAGTGGGCATGTAGGTGCTACGAAAAACGGCTACACTTGTCATGGAGGTTGTAATTTTGCCTGCTGCTGCCACGCGGTTGATCGTTGAAGTTTTACTGAACCTCAAACTTGGGTATAAACATAAAATAGAAAATAAGAATTATACGATTATACACTAGGAATTCTAGAAAAGAGAAGGAAGTTTCAAGAGTATATTTCTATGAGCCTACTGAGCAATGATAGAGCAAAAATAGTTTAACACACGCAAAAATGGCACCTTGTGATCCCTGCGATGCACCCGAGCAAACCGAGCGTCGGCGTTTTCTCTTTTATGCGAACTAGGTATGTTGTTCTACGAAAGAATGTATACATTATGCGTTGTTCCCTGGGAAAGCCTACAATTTCGATCAGAAAAGGGGAAAGGAATCCAGCCTACTGGAAAGCATTGGAAAGACAGTCAATACTATTAGGTTGTCCGGAAAGTTCTCAGCGTTTGTGCACCTATTTTTTGTACATTCACTGCTGATTAAAAACTCATTCTGCCTTGCTTCTCAGTAGCACATCCTGTAGAGAATTTCTTGCGCTATCTGATGGTATAATTGCCGTTTCACCATTGCTTGATAAACCCCCTTTTTTCAAGATTTTTTCAAGCATGTGAAAAGAGCACTTCGGACGATTTTTTCTTCGACTATAAATTGGGGCAATCCGCAATCGAAACAGCTCAACAAATTAACCAGGTGTGGGGGCCCAATAGTGCTAAGACACACGGTTGCGGCAATGGCTCAGAATAAATTTCGTTCGGGGAGACTCAGCCTTGAGGTGCACCTCATAGCGGTCGACTAAAGCAATAATCCTGACGAGGATTTTAGGGGGATTTTGGAGGCTGACCCATCCCAAACAGTTCGAGAGATAGCAGAAGAGCTAGGCCTTGGCAAATCCACTGTTGCAGATGGTCTGGAACGCATTGGGAAGGTGAAAAAACTCGACAATTGGGTGCCCCACAATCGGAGTGACCGGCAGGAATCGGCACGTCTCGAGGTTCCTTCTTCACTGCTTTTGCGCAAAAGAATTGACCCGTTTTTGAACGGATTTGTCACCTGTGATGAAAAATGGATCATGTATGATAGGAGACGTTCCGGACAGTGGTTGGATTTGGAGGAACCACCGAGGTAATTTTCAAAGCCGAACCCTCGCGAAAAAAAATTCTGGTCAGGTTTGGTGGTCATCGGCTGTTGTAATCCACTATAACTTTTCATCACCAGGCCAAACCATCACAGCAGAACCCTACTGTGAACAAACCGACCAAATGTACCGAAAATATTGTCAGCTGCAGCCAACACTTATCAAAAGAAAGGGTCCGATTCTTTTGCAACGCCCGCCCACACGTTTCACAAATCACTATCCATAAATTGAACGAATTGGGAGTTGAAGTTCTACCTCACCCACCATATTCTCAGACCTTTCCAACCGACTGTCACCTTTTCAGACATTTTCAGAACTTCCTTGCTGGAAAAATACTTCATCAATCAGGCAAAAAAGCCTTAGTGGATTTCGTGAATTTTCGACCACCCAGTTTTTTACTTTGATGGGATTTCTCGACTGCTGTCACATTGGCAAAAGTGTGCTGATTCGAATGGTGCCTATTTCGATTAAATCCGATGAG